CGATTGGAGCGCCAATTTCGCGCGTCAATTTCCGCCCCAAATTAAAAACAATATTTGCCTACCGGGTGGCCCAAACTCAATTAGGCAGGCGTTCGATTTTACAGCATTTCGGTCACGGGGCGACGTTTCGCCCCGCTCATCCTCAGGAGCATTGGACGCCACTTAATTAAGAGGGCCGAAATCCTGCATGCGAATCGGTCCATTAAGCGAGTGATTTGCTGATTTACGGCGCAGTTTAACCGATAAAATAAAGTTCGTTCGGGTAAAGTTTGCAAATGAAAATGTTTAATCGCGCTTTAATGGCGGTTTTTTTCGCTTCGCGACAGCGACTTGAAAGCGAGTTGAAATCCGATAATCGGGACGGACGATGTCTTAAAGTCGGAAGGTCGATGGGCGATTGAAAAGGCGCCAGTGGCGCCCTTAGCAGTGGGTTTAGGGCGAAAGTGAATGGGAGGTTTCCTGTCGGGGTTGGCCTTGGCCAACCAGTGGCGTGCTGGGTTTTTTAATTTTCGCTTAAATGCATTTTTTGCTCCTAAACCCCTGGGGGCTGAGGCCTGGAAAAAACCGCACCCGATGCCCCGGGGCGACAGAAAAACATTCCGTAGGAAGACTTTTTCGATTGGGGACTTGGTTTTCCCGCAAAAAAATAAACTGTGCCCAGTTGGACCACTGTGTGGCTTGAGGATGGCCGGATTCGAAATTTCCTTGAAAATTTTGCGGATTTTGGCTGTTTTGTGGTTTCCAAAGGGAGTTGGGTGGAAATGTGGCGCGAACCAGTTCCAGTGGGGCAAGTTTCGAAAATKTTCCCCCCAAACTATTGGGGGCCCAACCTTAAACCTGCCCTAGCTCGCTTATTGGGCACTTGAGCAAAAAAGTGAATACCACCTTTTTTATGCCCCTTGTCCTGGTCTATCCAGGGGAGTCTTCGAAAATTTCCTGCTGGTTTCAGTATGGGAGATTTTTGGGTTTAAAGGAAAATACGGTTTTTGGCTAGTTGGGCCCAAACGAGCCACTGGACGGCCCCGCAAAAAATCCTACTGGGTAGCACACAATATTGCGGAGGTTTTATCAGGAGCAACATTTTTCGCTAGGGGGCCTGGTTGGGGCGCAAACAAATAAAACGTTCCCTCTGACGCCCTAACCGGCCAAAACCCTCAGGGGCATCAAAAAAAAACCCTCTAGCTCCCAAACTAATAACTTTACAGCAACACTCTATAGAACAGTTTCTGTTCCTTTTGACCTCCGCCATCGAGTGCCGGGCTTGGATGTGGACGTTTTTTAATATTTTTTTTTACTGGTTTAGGGGCGTTTTTTCCTAAACCCTTCGTGGGGGGCTGTGGAACAATCGCCGCTAGATGGCCCTTGACCGACTGCATGTTTTACCAAGAGTGGCGTTTTTCGATTGCACGCTTGGTTTAGCAGGAAACATGAAAGTGTGCTTAGTTGGACCACTGTCTGGCTTGAAGATGGCGGCTTTCGAAATTTCGGGGAAAATTTTGGGGAATTTTGGCTGTTTGGTGCTGTTGCAAGAGAGTTGAGTGGAAATTTGGCAAGACGCAGTTCCAGTGGGGCAAGTTTCGAAAACTCCCCCCAAACTATTGGGGGCAAACCTTAAACCTGCCCTAGCTCGCTTATTGGGCAGTTGAGCAAAAAAGTGGATACCACCTTTTTTGTGCCGCTTGTCCTCGTCTATCCAGGGGAGTCTCCGAAAATTTCGTGGTGGTTTCAGTAAGGGAGCTTTTTGGGTTTTAAGGAAAACACGGTTTTTGGCCAGTTGGGCGCAAACGAGCCACTGGACGGCCCCGCAAAAAATTCTACTGGGTAGC